GGTAGGGTTACCTAGCGGTATTTTCAAATCTAGTTTGTATGTGAATAAACTTGTATAACTTGTACAACTTGTACTTTAGGTTTTCCAGAGTGTTTGTGTTATATTGCTGTCTGTTAAAATGAACTTAGAATACTGGGACTATTAATTTTGATTCTGCTGTGTGTCCAAAGCCATAAAGACATTATATGGTGACTTACATACGCATGTTAATTATCTTTGTTATTCTGTCAATTATGGCTGACTGACAGCTGTTTCAGTCATCAAATTTGCTCATGCTTGAACATGTCTGGAACCATTTCTTGGACATGAACTGGATGATTTCATTCAAACTCTAAACCATGCATCTTATGTTACAAGTGCATGTCCTATTTTTTCAAAATTTGAACAAAAATGGCCATCAATTGGTCATTTTTGTTCAAATCTTGAATTCATTTCTGTGCTCATTTTTGTGCTGATTCCTCACTAATTTATCACCATATTTACTGTCCTCATAGGCAATACTGGAGGATGTGTTATATTAGTCCCTTTTCAGATGTAAACATGGAATAACGTCTGTGCGTGTGTCTGTTTGTATCAAGCAGTATCTCACACATGCTTGGACCGGTAAATCTTGAGTTTCATATATACATCAGACATATACATTATATTGGGCATATGCACATGCATTTGTTTTATGATCTGATTCAAGATGGCAGCCATTTTAAGGCCATAATAAATCAAAATCTCACATATGCACCATTCCTGTACCATATCTCAGTCGTGTATAGATGGATTTGGTTAAAACTTGGTAAATACATATGGGACCTTAACGCATGTCATTTTTTTCAGATCAACAATAAAATGCAGCCATTCTGGATCCACATCTCTGCCATGGCTGGACTAATGAAGTTTTAACTTCACACATACAGCATATTGAACAAATGTGCATTTTTGTCGCCAGTCAATCCAAAATGGCTGACTTGTTTTTAAGAATGCCATGTCTTGTACATGCTTGAACCAATCAAGTTTAACACATTCATCACACATCTGGTCATATATTCTGGAAATTGATTTCAGTTGCTCATTAACTGATTGAATTCAAATTCTATGCAATCATCTGCATGGACCTTGCAGGATGAAATTAAGTTTTGTGATTGGATTCATAATCCCCTGGTTGGCTGTCATATTATTTGATAGAATGCTGTACAATATTGTAATTCTGACATGTGCTCATGATATCATTATATGGCACTAATTTAATACTGCTACAAGACACCTTAGTTTGTTGATGAAAATAGGTACAAAGACATAATGGTAACCTATTTTGCATTGTTATGTAATTTGATGACCGACTGGTGACCATCTTTGTTCCAGGCATGTCTGGGCTGATTTGCAGAGTCAGTAAAAACCTTAGCAAGGACTACGGGTAGTTCCTGTTAGGGTGAACTCCATAAATATGGAACAGAAGGTTCCAGTACATTCATTAGGACTTGACACCCAACCCCTCCAAAAAAAGATAAACAGCTAAAATAAAGAATGTTAATGTACTATTTTGCATGCTTTGCCCTCAATTCAAGTGACACCATCCCATGGTAGATAAATGTTGCATCTATAAACTTCATTTAACACTAGAGGGCGCTTTTTTCAGAAACGTTTTGTACACTGATTCTGATATTTGCTAAAAGTCAGTCTGACGTTTTATCTGACTGATTGATTTGTGGCCATTTTCCCCACCATCTGAAAAAATACTAACTTGGCGAGTTTAGTAAATTACAGTTTGAGTCAAAATATGTTCGAAGAACATGTGCCAGCTGAACTTGGTTTGCATGTTATTGATTGACAAACTTTGCTGATCTTCTATTTTTAACTGTCTTGTGTGTATGAGGCCCGTGAATTCCTAATATTGTCTAGAATCTAATACTAGTATTTTGTTTTTGACGAATATACTTAAATTGGAGAGAAGAGAACAGACAGAAAAGGTGCACATCTCATTTATCGAAACTTATTACTTATTGAACATTAATGGGAATATATCTCAAAAGTTGTATTCTTCAAGTTCACACATTGGTCGTTCGTATTTCGTGAAAACGAACAATGTATGGGGAATACTTATTGCAATGGGTGCATTGTTATAAAATACGTTGCAGACTTTGTTTGCAGCAACTAAGAAATAATGTAGACATATCTGTGTTTGTTAATTAAATACTATTTCGTTGAAGG